CAGGTGGCTGGGCTGGAGAATCCCCAGATCTCTTCCTGCCCCCAGTCTAGAAGGCCTGGGAGAGCTCAGCCTGGAACCAGATTCTGGGGTCCAGTCCCATGTGGAGGAAGGGGGCCGGGGTCCTCCCCACCTCAGGGTCTTGCAGCCTCCACCTGAAGGATGCCCCCCACCCTCAGTCCTGGCCTGGGGTGGGACCTCCGCCTCCTGTAGGGTGGTTCTTTGGGGAGATTGGTCTGGAGGAACCCCACCCCTCTGCCGCTGAGTCATTACCCGCCTTGGCCGGCCGGCCCGGTCCCCGGTTTCCTCCGCTGGGGGAGGGGGAGGCGGAGGGGGTGCAGGAGCGGGCCTCCCCAGGAGCTGTGAGAAAGCTGGCCGTCTTTGTGAGGGCGGCGGGAGGAGGGCACGGCCGCCTGCCCGGCGGGGTCAGGGTGGGGGCTGCGGCCGTTTGATGTGCCCGGGCGGGGTGTGGGGACGCCGGCGGAATAAAGAGGCCATAGAATTGCTGCCTGACACGGGCCCACCGCGGGGCTGCCTCCGCCCGGCTCCCTCGGCCTCTGCCTGTCAGTGTCAGCCCGGGGACTCTGCTCCCCACGGCTCCCCGTCAGCCTTGCGTGCGGGGCGGCGGGAGCCCCTCTGAAAGCCCTCAAAGGCCCCTTTATGCGCCCGTCCCCCGGACCCTCCCTGCCACGGGGAGCGGAGGGAGTGGGCTCGGCTGCCTTTCCTCCCGCCGCCTCCTCCCCGGGGACCGGCCTTTTGGAGAAAGTTCAGGCTTAGCTCCTTGCGTGGCCGGTTCATCGCCCCACACTCCCCGCTGGGCCCGACCTGAAGTGGGTGTGGCCGGGCCCACTGCCTGCCCAGGGTGCCACGTGGTGGAGCACGGGGCCGCCGGCTAGGTCTGAGTGTCCGGAGCCGGACAGACAGAAGGCAAGTTCACGGTCCCCGCCGGGCCCTGGGCTCTCTGGGCTGGGGTCCCGCTCCCCAGGGGGAGGAGGGCTGGCCCAGGTGGGCGGGGCCCCAGGAAGGTGCCGCAGAGTCTTGGGGCAACTTCCAGCCTTCTCGCTGCCCCATCCTGGGGGCCGGGAAAAGAGGGAGGCCATTGGGAACGTGAGAGGGTCTTGTCCTCGAAGGCTGGGGGCCCTGGTTCCTTTTTGGGGTGGTCTTCACCTCTCAGTGCCTCCTCACCCCTCCCCACCAGGTGTGTGGAGTCTGCCTCTGCAGGCTGATCTTCCTTGTGCATGGCAGGCAGATGCTCCCGCATCTCTGGGGTGGGGTCCTGTCTCCCTTCCTCCGTCCCTGAGGAGGGCCAGGAGGGAGCTCCCCACACAGGGACTGGCCGTGCTCCACCACCTGCAAGTTCCAGCCTGCGCCCTGGGGCGGCTTGTAGGAGGGAGCCGGGGCAGTGGTACTGAGCCCCTTCCTCCTCCCACCTCCCACCTCCTGGGCTCTGGGCCTGCACTGTCCCCTTCTCCCCCCACCCCCCGCGCCTCCCCGCCCCCCTCGTGCCCAGGGAAGCGGCCTGGAAGGACTGGAATTAGTGCTGAGGGTGCCCTCGGTCACCTCCTCCCCCTGAGGGCCCGGAGTGGGGGTGAAGGGGGCAGACTGGGGCACTGGGGACAATGCAAGAAGAAAGGAGGCTTTAGCCGAAACCAGTTTGGCTCAGTGGATAGAGCGTTGGCCTGGGGACTGAAAAGTCCCGGGTTTGATTCCAGTTGGGGGCATGTAACTTGGTTGCGGGTGCATCCCCAGTTGGGGGGGCGGTGCAGAAGGCAGCTGATCCATGTTTCTCCTCATCGATGTTTCTAGCTCTCTATCTCTCTCCCTTCCTCTCTGTAAAAAATTAATAAAAAATATATATTTTTTTTTAAAAAAAGAAAAAAGAAAGGGGGCTTTGGAGGGGAGAACATTCTTTTGGCTTGGGATTCTCAGGCCCTTCCAGGCAGGAGTAAAGCCCGAGGGTGGTGAGAGTGCCCTGGACCGCGCTGCCCCCCCCCCCCCCCCCCCCCCCGCCTTACACACACACACACACACACACACACACACACACACACCAGAGACATCAGAAAGGGGCAGCCGGGCCCAGTGACCTAAGAGCAGTGGGCAGAGCAGGCGGGGAGCCAGCTAACTTCCTAACCTGCTCCTTTCCATGGACTCCTCGCCGGGCCAGGCCCTGGTCTCCAGGTTAGCGCCCCTGTGGGGCGGGGAGGGGTGCTGAGGCGGGGGCCCGGCACATGGGCTATATGGGTTGTAGGTGAATGAGGGGCGAGTCCTCTCTGCCTGCACCCCCTTTTCTCTTTCTCTCTTGTGGGCTGAGGAGCTGGGCTCAGGGAGGGAGGCAAGGAGGCGGGGAGGCAGGTGGGTGATTCATGGCAGCTGGAGAGCTGCAATTTGGAAACGGGGGAAGGTGGTGGGTGAGGCTGGGTCTGGCCACGTCTGTTTGCCCAGGGAGGGCCTGGCCCTTAAAATCCCCAGCAGGTGAGTGGCCAGGGTCCGCCCAGGCGGAGGGCAGGGAGTGGACGGGGCTGGAAGCCTTCTGACCCAGAACCCCTCCCTCCAAGCCGGAAAGCACCCCTGGCCTCTGTGCCTTCTGCTGCGTTCCTTCTGGGGGTGCTGCGGGCAGGCAGCCTCTGGGGAGGGGCTTGGTTCACTCTGAACCCCCACTGCCCAGTTAAGCGTGGTAGCCGATGCCCCCTCCCCTTTCGGGGCCTGGTGGGCCAGTGTTTTACACTCTTCCCATGGACGGGCCGGGTCTGAGCGGAACCTTGGGGAGGAGGTGGCTCAGCCTTATCTGATCTGCCAGCTGCAGAGCCCAGTGGCGGTGATGGGATGGAGAACTCTGCCCAGGATTGATAGCCATCTGATGTCTCTGGCACAGGGCGGAGAGCACCCGCAGCACGTTTTGTAACACGCAAACGTTGAGGCCCAGGGGAGCTGTCATGTGAAGAGATAAAAGAGGTTGACGCGCCAGATTAGGAGATGCGGAGTGAGATTGGGAGAGGGGATGAGTGAAGGCCGAGGGTGCTCCTGGCGGGGAAGAGACCGGAGCCTGGCCCGCTGCCACCGTGGCCTTCACCCAGCATCTGTGGGACTGAGCCCGCGAGGCAAGGGAGGCCCCCGGCTCCCGCCCCTGTGGCCTGGGCTCCGTGCACCCACCTCCTTTGACATGGAGGACAGGGTAGAGCAGTGGTCGGCAAACTCATGAGTCAACGGAGCCAAATATCAACAGCACAGCGGCTGACATTTCTTTGGAGAGCCACATTTTTTAGACTTAAGCTTCTTCTAACGCCACTTCTTCAAAATAGACTTGCCCAGGCCGAAAACCGACTTCTGCACATGGGCCACGAAGTTTCAGTCGCCCTGTACGTGCACAGCCACACGTGGTGTTTTGTAGAAGAGCCACACTCAAGGGCCAAAGAGCCGCAGGTGACTCTTGAGCCGGTTTGCCGACCCCTGGGTTAGAGGACTTGCCTTTTCACACCCGGATGCCCCTTCTATGCCTCCTCTTGTGGCTGACTTGATCTTCCCTCTTTTGTGGTCACTTCTGAACAGGGCAGGTGGCAGAAGGTGCTGTTGTTATGAAGCAGAACCTGGAGGCCAGCTTCCCTGGGGCTGGGGCGGGGGAGGGGGGTACAGGGAGGGTGCTAGGACCTGGAGGCCAGCTTCCCCAGGGCTGGGGAGGGGGCACAGGAAGGGTGCTAGGACCTGGAGGCCAGCTTCCCCGGGGCTGGGGCGGGGGGAGGGGACCACAGGGAGGGTACTAGGACCTGGGGGCCAGCTTCCCCGGGGCTAGGGCGGGGGAGGGGGGTACAGGGAGGGTGCTAGGACCTGGGGACCAGCTTCCCCAGGGCTGGGGAGGGGGGGCACAGGGAGGGTGCTAGGACCTGGGGACCAGCTTCCCCGTGGCTGGGGAGGGGGCACAGGGAGGGTGCTAGGACCTGGAGGCTAGCTTCCCCAGGGCTGGGGAGGGGGCACAGGGAGGGTGCTAGGACCTGGAGGCCAGCTTCCCCGGGGCTGGGGAGGGGGCACAGGGAGGGTGCTAGGACCTGGAGGCCAGCTTCCCTGGGGCTGGGGAGGGGGGGCACAGGGAGGGTGCTAGGACCTGGGGGCCAGCTTCCCCGGGGCTGGCGGGGGAATAGGATGGGATCTCGATGCACAGCGGTCAGGCCTGGAGGGAAGGGCTGAGGACTTCTCTGCTGAGAATGGACGGACCTGTTTGGGAGCAGAGAAAGGCTGCGGGTGGAAGTGGCGGGGCATCCTGCCAGCCCAGGGGTCACAGGGCACGGCAGTTGCTGGCAGTTGGTGGTTTCACACCCCTGTGCAGCGGGCACCTGGGAGCAGCCTGGCCCAGGGGTGGCCCCGCGCGGGCAGCACCCGTGGGAACGCTTCCTCCCGGTGAACGCCGGGCGCGGGAGGGAGCTGAGGGAGCGGCGTCGGGCCCAGGCTCTTGGGGAGGAGCGCTCTGTCGGCAGGTCAGTGCCGGGTCGGACCCACGCAGCACACCACCGTCCTTCCGCCCTCCCCTCGTCCTGTCCTGTCCTGTCCTGTCCCTGGGGGTGGGCGTTCTGGTGCAGCCAGGCTCGGGGCCAGGCGCTGCAGGACCGCAGGCGCTGCTCTCAACAAAGGGGCCTGGGGCGGCCCAGCTGTGGGAGACGGGAGAGAGGCAAATGGGCCCTGCCTTGGGGGGTCTCCAGGGGCACCCCAATAACAGGGTCTGGGGATCCGGGAATTCAGTTGGTTTGATTCCTCCGCGCCCCCCTCCCCCCCCCAATGCCAGCAGGCAAGGGCAATGGCAAGGGTATCCTAGACAGAGAATAACCGACATGTGTTTGGCTGTGGAGTGTGCTGAGGTTTAACAATCATATTTACCTTATTCATTATGTCAGCCTTAGGCTAATATTAACATGCACTTCCTGATTGGGCAGTAGGGGGTGGCACCTAGGAGGTGGCAGGGCCCGGCTCCCAGGACCTCGCGCTCAGTGTTGGATGTGTCTCTGCCCTTTTAGGATCCGAATGCCATGCCCCCACCGGGGCACCCACGGCAGCGGGCACCTGTCATGGGCTGAGGAGCTGGGCCTGCACGGAGGGCTGGCAGCAATGGGCTCCCGTCTGAGTCCTCGGCAGTCTGTGGCAGCGAGGAGGAGGAGGAGGAGAGGCCTGGGCGTCCGGAGAGGGGCTCGGGCGTGAGTGACGGGCTCAGAGCCAGCCCTGCCCGCCCGGCCCGCCATGGTCCAGAGGCTGTGGGTGAGCCGCCTGCTGCGGCATCGGAAAGCCCAGCTCCTGCTGGTCAACCTGCTGACCTTCGGCCTGGAGGTGTGTCTGGCCGCGGGCATCACCTACGTGCCCCCCCTGCTGCTGGAAGTGGGGGTAGAAGAGAAATTCATGACCATGGTGCTGGGTAAGTCCCCACCTCCTCCTGCCTCCGGTTCCGGACCCATGCCCCCTGGGCACGGGGCAAGGGTGCCTCTGTCCACAGAGCCGCTTGGAGGGAGCGGCTGGGGGCCGTCTGCTGGGCTGGTTGGCTGGGGGCAGGGGTGACTCTGGGCTGAGAGGGTCCCAAGAGGAAGAAAAGGGGACAGGGACATGCCCTGGTCATCACTATACCCCTGGCCCTGCATCATAGCCGACTCATAGGAGACATGGAAGAAATGGCCCTCCCCTGGGGCTGGCCCTTTCTAACGACTATGATCTCATGTAATGCTTCCTGCAAGCCTTGGAGGGCATCTAGTCCACAGAGCAGATAATGGAGGTCTCTAAGACGTCAGCTGAGCCGAAACCGGTTTGGCTCAGTGGATAGAGCGTCAGCCTGTGGACTGAAAGGTCCCTTGGTTGCAGGCACATCCCCAGTACGGAGTGTGCAGGAGGCAGCTGATTAATGTTTCTCTCTCATCGATGTTTCTACCTCTCTATCCCTCTCTCTTCCTCTCTATAAAAAATAAAATAAATAAACATTAAAAAAAAAAAAAAGAAGTCAGCTGACCTAGCCAGCTGTATGGCTAGCTCCTCCCAGCCAGGGCTCCTGCTGACCTGTGGGATGGATTCTGCAAAGGCCACCAAAGGCAAGTGGGCAGCGTCGTGAGTCTTCCAGGCGGCAGGGGCCCTGCCGGGATGATGGGCTCTGGAGTCAGACCGCCTGCTGACGCCCTGCCCCCTGCCCTCCTCGCCCTAGCCCTGGACGCGAGTCTCACTCATCCCTCGCTCCATGCCTCTGTTTTCCCACCTGAAAAATGGGGTGTTAGCGATCCCAGCTGTGAGGAGTCCATTAGAGTCCCCAAGGACTCAGCACAGTACCCAGGACAGGAGTGGTCCTTCCTGTGGGAGTACCATGGTCATTTCCGTCCTTCCCAAGGAGGTTGGTCTCCCTGCCCCTGCCCCAGCCTCCAGCTCACACTTCTTGCCTTTCTTGCAGGCATTGGTCCAGTGCTGGGCCTGGTCTCAGTCCCGCTCCTGGGCTCAGCCAGTGACCACTGGCGTGGGCGCTACGGCCGCCGGAGGCCCTTCATCTGGGCCCTGTCCCTGGGCGTCCTGCTGAGCCTCTTCCTCATCCCAAGGGCCAGCTGGCTGGCGGGGCTGCTGTGCCCGGACACCCGGCCCCTGGAGCTGGCGCTGCTGATCGTGGGCGTGGGGCTGCTGGACTTCTGCGGCCAGGTGTGCTTCACCCCGCTGGAGGCCCTGCTCTCCGACCTCTTCCGGGACCCGGACCACTGCCGCCAGGCCTTCTCCGTCTACGCGTTCATGATCAGCCTCGGGGGCTGCCTGGGCTACCTCCTGCCCGCCATCGACTGGGACGCCAGTGCCCTGGCCCCCTACCTGGGCACCCAGGAGGAGTGTCTCTTCGGCCTGCTCACGCTCATCTTCCTCACGTGCATGGCGGCCAGCCTGCTGGTGGCCGAGGAGGCGGCGCTGGGCCCCGCCGAGCCGGCCGAAGCGCTGTCCGTCCCGCCCCCCAGGCCGGCCCGCGGCTGCCCCGGCCGTGCCCGCCTGGCTCTGCGGAACCTGGGCGCCCTGCTGCCCCGGCTGCACCAGCTCTGCTGCCGCGTGCCGCGCGCCCTGCGCCGGCTCTTCGTGGCCGAGCTGTGCAGCTGGATGGCGTTCATGACCTTCACGCTGTTTTACACGGACTTCGTGGGCGAGGGGCTGTACCAGGGCGTGCCCAGGGCCGAGCCAGGCACTGAAGCCCGGAGACACTACGATGAAGGTAAGGCTCCTTGGCGGGGGAGGGGGGAGAAGGAGAGATGGGGGGAGAAGGAGAGATGGGGGGCTCGGGCCTAGGGGCATGCCCACCACCTGTGCCTGGGCAGGTAGCTGAGCACCCCTGCACCCTGACTTCCCCATCAGGAAAACAGGCCCAGCCTCCGTGGGCAGCTCCTCAGGCTCCGGGGCAGCCGAGCCTGCCGACTGCCTCGGTGGAGCCCGGGGCTGCTCTGCGAGTTGGATCAGGGTCCTTGTCCCAAAAGGCGGTGCTGGTTTAAGGTCCAGAGGGAGTGAGGAGTCCAGGCCGGTGTGTCAGGTTTGCCTGGTCGATGGTGTCCCCTCCTCCCGCTCCTGACTTTCAAATCCCCCAGCTTTCCAAATCCCAACACCGGTGGGGCGGCGCAGGTGTCCTGGAATCTCAGAGCCTCTGGCCGAGCTGTCTGTGTCCCTCTCGTCCTCCTGGTAGCTGAGCTCTAGCTTGGCTGCTGTCCACCCTCAGAGCGGCTTCCTCTGCCCTGAGCTGGCCGCTCTGGCCACATCCCCTGGGACAGCCTAGGCTCCTGGGGTTACAGGTAGGGTAGGAGGGTGCTGGGGAGCAGGGTTGACCTAGCAGGTTTTGACCCAGGGCCCCTAACTCTGAGCACCCCCAGGTTGTACTGGGCCCCTCCCCCTCCATGTCTGACTGCCTCCTTCCCTCCCGCCTCTCTGTCTAGGAGTCCGGATGGGCAGCCTGGGGCTGTTCCTGCAGTGTGCCACCTCCCTGCTCTTCTCCCTGGTCATGGACCGGCTGGTGCAGCGATTCGGCACGCGGGCAGTCTACCTGGCCAGCGTGGTGGCCTTCCCCGTGGCTGCCGGCGCCACGTGCCTGTCCCGCAGCGTGGCTGTGGTGACCGCCTCCGCCGCGCTCACAGGCTTCACCTTCTCCACCCTGCAGATCCTGCCCTACACGCTGGCCTCCCTCTACCACCGGGAGAGGCAGGTACTCACACCGGATGCGGCCGCGGACGGGCGGGCGGGCGGCGGCGGCGGGGGTGGTGGGGCGGAGTGGCCAGCCATGAGCTGGGTTCGGGCAGGCGGGCAGGCGGGAGAGCGTTGGAGAAAGCAGTCTTTGATCAGAGAGGAAGGCCATGCAGCCCCGGGGCTGGAGACGTGGGCTGCGGAAGGAGGGTATAGATTAGATTCTGGGAATGACTTCCTGGTGTCAGGATTCTAAAGCACTTGAGTGGATGATTGCAGGAAATGCAAAATCCTTCTCTGGGGGAGTCCTGGAGCGGCCTGCCAACAAGCCCTCTGGCTGCTGGGTGGTGCTGTTGGGCGGGAGTGGGGGGGAGGGGCGCTGGGCCAGGTGGCCTTGGGGCCCAGCCTCTGCAGACAGGAGTGGGGAAGGCCGGTGTCCTGCAGAGACTGGGAGGGGCCCACTGACCTGGGCCTGCTTTGGTCTCCCCAATGGGGAAGGCTCCTCCCTGTCCCCTCTCGTGCTCTATCTTCCTCTTCCTATCGAGTTCTCTCTCTCCTTCTCCTGCTTTTCCCCCTCTTCCTTTGTTCTCTTACCCCACCCCCTTGGCCTGACACCACTTCCCTGGACACTTTGTAAGTGGGGGCCTCACACTAACTAGCCCCTCCAGGGCTCCCTTTTGTGGGAAGCCCCCTGACCAGGCTCTATGGTCAGTGTTATCTCCTCCGCTGGCCTCACAGAGCTACCGTCCCGGGCGCAGAGCTCTGCCCTGACGGGCAAGAAGCTGGGGTGTCCCCAGGGAGGAGATGCAGGTGTGTCCTCAGAGCTTCCAGACTCGGGGAGACGTGTCTCTGCCCTTGCAGGGCGTGAGTGGGTAGCAGAGAAGCAGCAAACCGAAGGCGGGTGAGCCGAATCGGTAGCTGCTGGGGTGGAAGAGGTGGAGGGAGGGGCCGGGGTTCTGGTTGGGGGAACCTGGTTCCTCAGACCCCTGTCCGCACACCGATACCTTCATCAGCCTCCTCTCCTCTGCCGCCCTGGCTGCGGGCATGGGGCTGACGGGTGGGGCCAGGCTTGGGCACGCGCTCTGGTGCCAGAGAACATACAGGGGCCAGTCCTCCCCAGGGGCCCAGGAGCCCTTCTATCTCCAGGGGCCTCTCTAGGCTCCAGCCTCACTGGTCTTTCCTGGGGTAGCCGCATCGCCTGCACCTGTCTTTGCCCACTTCCGTGAGTGGTGGGCTCCCCGGGGGTCAGGGGTGAGCTCTGCCGTGGATCTCAGACCTAATGCAGCCAACTAGACTTCTAGCTCCAGATTCGTCCTATCCCTGCCCCCTGGCTCCTGTCCCGCTGCCTGGTTTTCACTAAGGCCCCTGGACCCGGTTTGTTCTCGTCGCTGGGGGGGGGACTCCCATGCCTGGGTACACACCTGTCCTCGCCCCCTTGTCCTTCCTCTGTCCCCCCAGGTATTTCTTCCCAAGCACCGAGGAGACGCCGGAGGGGGTGCCCCCGAAGACAGCCTGCTGACCAGCTTTCCGCCCGGCCCCAAGGCCACGTCCCCCTTCCCCAATGGACACGTGGGCGCGGGCGGCAGCGGCCTGCTCCCCTCCGTGCCTGCGCTCTGCGGGGCCTCCGCCTGCGACGTCTCCATGCGTGTGGTGGTGGGCGAGCCGCCCGAGGCCAGGGCCGTCCCGGGCAGGGGCATCTGCCTGGACCTCGCCATCCTGGACAGTGCCTTCCTGTTGTCCCAGGTGGCCCCGTCCCTGTTCATGGGCTCCATCGTCCAGCTCAGCCAGTCCGTCACCGCCTACATGGTGTCGGCCGCGGGCCTGGGACTGGTTGCCATCTACTTTGCTACGCGGGTGGTATTTGACAAGAGTGACTTAGCCAAATACTCAGTGTAGAGCACTTCCCACCCACGGAGCCAGGGCCTGCCTCCCTGGGTCCCGGCTCCCCCGTCTTCCAGGCTCCATAGGGCCGTGGGGCTGCTGGCTTCCCAGTTCCTATTGCTGCCCAAGTGGCGTGGCTCTCTACTGCCACCCCATGGCGGTAAGGTGCATAGCTGCACAGACAGGGCACTGGGGCTTTCCCATCTCTCTCCAATCATTAGGGCTGTGGCTGAGTCCACATGGGCCTACGTCTAGCCTTACAGGGAGAGAAGGTCAGGGCATTTGAGTAGCACCGTGCACTGGAATTCGGGACTCTCGCGGGATTACCCAGGCTCAGGGGTCACAGCTAGCGCCCTGATCAAGACATACCAAGAGAAGGCACTTGGGGAGCTGAGGAAACTCAGCTCCAGGTCTCCTCTCTCCGAGCCCTGCTATCCTGTAGGTTCCCCCAATGTTGCTCTAGTGTGAAACTGTCCCCTCACAGAATTTGAAAGTATGGAAGTTACTTGGGGGGCAGGCGTCTGATGAGGGGAGTGGGGACACTGCCTTTCCACAGATTCCCCCAGCCCTGCTTCACTGGGATCCAGTCTCCACCACAGGGATCCAGGCCTTTAAATACTTAACTTATTTATTTAAAGAGAGGGGAGTCGATTCCCAGCTCTGTGTGGTTGGTGTCCGGGAGGGACATCTCAATGATGGTCCCCTGGCCCCCTGAGATGCCTGGCTATTGGGTTTAAGCATTGCCAGAATCCCCCTTTTCCTGGGGGGATCGGTCTGGCCCCAAAATGTTCTCACCCAGGAGCTTGGAAGCTCTGCTCGGCCCTGCTGATCCCAACTCCTCTCCCCCAAGGCTGATCAAGGCAGAGGAGGAGGGCTGGACCTCAGGTCTGAGCAGCCTCCCTGGTCTTCCCTCCTCTCTCGGCCCAGCGTGCCCCGTCCCCTCCCCTCTGCTTCCTCTAGGTCTGGGCTGATGAAGGAGCTGCCCACCCCCTGCCTTTCCCCAGTGGCTCCAGGGCCTCTCTTGGGGGGCTGCTTCGGGACCAGAAGCACTCAGTGTGGCTCCTCGAAACCTTGATCCGTCTTTGCCCCCAGGGCATCGCTGTGTGTGGGGACCCTCACACAGAATCTCAGGAGCACCCCCTGCCTAGGCTAAGGAGGGCATCTCTCTGGGGGGTTTTTAAGTGCCGTTTGCAATAACGTCATGTCTTATTTATTTAGCGGAGTAAATATTTTATACTGTATGTGAGCAATCAGAATATACTGTTTATGGTGATGAAATTAAAGGTTTCTTATATGTTTAATCGGCCTGTGTTCATCTCTGCTGGGAAGGACCAGATTTCTCAAAAATTATCCTCTGATCCCTTTTCATTGGAGTTGGGGTGGGGGTGGGGGGCCGGGGGAGGGAGGGGGGAGGGCAGCTTCAGTTCTCAGCGTCACCAGCAGGTGGAGCCATAGACCAATACTACTCCAGTCCTTTGATGACTGGTTGTGGCTGTGGTACCCCCTGGATTGAGGGGTTCCTTTGGGAATGTGGGGGAGATTAAGGGTTGGAAGTGGAGGGCAGTGGGGGCATTTTTCTTCTCAAAGGGCTCAAGGAGATGGAGCAAGCACCCGTTACCAACTACAGCAGTGCGAACTCCCCTGATGTGCATGCAGGTGAGGATTTTGACCCCCTTGGTCCTGCCCTTTCTCCTTCATCCTTCCTGCCAGGCTCAGATCAAGTTCAGAGGCTTCTCTGCCTTGTCACCTCCCTCAACTTGACGGGTCTTCCTGTCCTCTAAGTAGTTACTAGCAACAACTAGTTTTATTCATTTTTTATTTATTTTATTTTTATTTTTATTTTTTAAATATATTTTATTGATTGTTTACAGAGAGGAAGAGAGAGGGATAGAGAGTTAGAAGCATCAATGAGAGAGAATAATTGATCAGCTGCCTCTTGCACACCCCCTACTGGGGATGTGTCCGCAACCAAGGTACATGCCCTTGACCGGAATCGAACCTGGGACCTTTCAGTCCACAGGCCCATGCTCTACCCACTGAGCCAAACTGGTTTTGGCTATTCATTTTTTAAATGTTCTATATTTTATTTAACTTTTTATTATGGAAATTTCAAACATACATGAGTAATGAACCTGGTATAATGAGTCCAGGTTCAACAATTATGAATGTTCCGACATTTTTGTTTCATATCCTGCACCCTAACTCCTGTGTGTGTGATAGTGTGATATATATATATATATGTGTGTGTGTGTATATATATATATATTAATATATATACATATATATATATATAAAACTTTTTTATTTTTATTTTTCAAAGTATTTTGCCTATCAAGTTGGCAATGACACACACACTCACACACACACACACAAACACACTATATATGTGTGTGTGTGTGTGTGTGTGTGTGTATATATATTTATTTATATATTTATTTTAGAGAGGAAGGGAGAGAGAGATAGAAACATCAATGATGAGAGGGAATCATTGATTGGCTGCCTCTACTGGAGATGAAGCCCGAAACCAGGCATGTGCCCTTGACTGGAATCAAACCTGTGACTTCAGTCCACAGGCTGACACAGACTCTGTTCACTGAGCCAAACTGGCTAGGGTGATTTTTATTTTTTCTTATTGGAGAGAGGAAGGGAGAGAGAGATACATCAATGTGAGCAAGGATATCAATGAGTTGCATCCTATACACACCGTGACCGGGGATCAAACCAGCAACCTTTTGGTGCACAGGACAACACCCAACCAACTGAGCCACACTGCCAGAATCTATTTTTAAAAGATAAGGACTTATTTTAAAAACCACATAGTCACATTACCATTATTAAAAAAAATAAAAAATAATAATTCCTCATTGTAATCAAATATTCAGTCAGGGTTCACATTTTCATCTCAAATTATTTTGTAAAGATTTTGTTCAAATTAGAACAAAATAAATTCCACACATGGAATTAGGATTGAGGAGTCAGAGAAGGAGTGGGGCGGGGGGTGCGGGGAGCCCAGGGTCCTGGGCTGGAGTCAGTGGGCGGTGCCCCATCCCTGAACATTCATGGATCTTCCTTTCTGGCCTGGGGTGCCCTCCCTGCAGAGCCAGCTACGGTGGGCTGGGGGAGCAGAGAGAGGAGGGGTGGGGGACATGGGAGAGCAGAGAGAGGAGGGGTGGGAAAGATGGGGAGCAGAGAGAGGAGGGGTGGGGGACATGGGGGAGCAGAGAGAGGAGGGGTGGGGGACATGGGGGAGCAGAGAGAGGAGGGGTGGAGGACATGGGGAGCAGAGAGGGGTGGGAGACATGGGGGAGCAGAGAGAGGAGGGGTGGGGACATGGGGGAGCAGAGAGAGGAGGGGTGGGGAAGATGGGGAGCAGAGAGAGGAGGGGTGGGGGACATGGGGGAGCAGAGAGAGGAGGGGTGGGGAAGATGGGGAGCAGAGAGAGGAGGGGTGGGGGACATGGGGAGCAGAGAGGAGGGGTGGAGGACATGGGGAGCAGAGAGAGGAGGGGAGGGGGACATGGGGGAGCAGAGAGAGGAGGGGTGGGGACATGGGGGAGCAGAGAGAGGAGGGGTGGGGACATGGGGGAGCAGAGAGAGGAGGGGTGGGGACATGGGGGAGCAGAGAGAGGAGGGGTGGGGAAGATGGGGAGCAGAGAGAGGAGGGGTGGGGAAGATGGGGAGCAGAGAGAGGAGGGGTGGGGGACATTGGGGAGCAGAGAGAGGGGTGGGGGACATGGGGGAGCAGAGAGGAGGGGTGGGGAAGATGGGGAGCAGAGAGAGGAGGGGTGGGGGACATGGCCTGGGCAGCGGGACCTCGGGTTACCTCTCGTGCTGCTGGGGAAAAGCCCTCGGTTTCCAGGGTCAGATTTGGTTACAGCGGCCTGGCCGTCCGTCGCTGTTGGCCGGAGGGAGGGCTGCTCAGAGCCCAGAGCCAGGGCTTCCTGACACCCAGCACTGTCACTAGATCTCCACGCACCCGAGGAGGCAGCTGGTCACTTGACTCCCGTCTGCCTCTTGCTGGCATTTGACCTTTGACCTGTCATTCTCCTGTGGGCACAGGGAGGGGTTAATAGAGTAGACACAGCGCTAGAATCCCACGACTTCGTGGTTTGGAGCAGCTCCCCACACCCCTCTCCCCCATAAGCCATTTACAGCCCCCATTGATGCTCCTTCCTTTCCACCAGATGGTGTCTGCCTACCTTCCTGCATGCTGGACCTGTGTTAGCCCTGGGACTGTGGCAACGAAACCACCCTCCCTCCCTGCAGCTCAGATGGGCTGAGCGGAGGCTGCTGGGGGCAGCCCGGGCTTAGGGATCCAGGTTCTGGGGGAAGCGGCTCCGGGGAGAGCCAGGTGTGGGTCAGCCAGCGAGAAGCAGGCTGGGGAGAGGCGGTGGGGGAGGGGGGCGCCCTGACACAGAGGACACCCCACTGGCTGGCCTTGCTCGGTGACTTCATTGCAGTGACTTGGGGATAGCATGTGGCAGGGAGGCACCCGTTCACCAGCAACAAACAGGCCTGCGAAGATGCCGCCCCTGGTCCAGGGGCACTGCCCCTGGCTCTGCTTGTTGTACCATCACAGGTCTGACAGGTGGAGGAGGTGAGGGGCATGTAGGAGACCTCTGCAGCTTTTCTGTGACTCTGATATCCATATAATAAAAGCGGAATATGCAAATTGTCCCCGTATCCGGGAGTTGTCCAGGAGTTCGACCAGGAGGCAGGGCCAGCTGGGGGAAGGGAGGGAGGCCCTGGCTGGCAGCCGGCAACTGATAGGGACCCTATCAGTACACAGATTTCGTGCACTGGGCCTCTAGTTCCAACATAAAAGGATGACTTCTTAATATGAATGACTTTTTAAATTTTATTTATTTAATTTTATTGATTTTGTACAGAGAGGAAAGGAGAGAGAGAGTAACATCGATGAGAGAGAGTCATCGATCAGCTGCCTCTTGCACCCCCCCCTACTGGGGATATGCCTGCAACAAAGGTACATGCCCTTGACCGGAATCGAACCCGGGACCCTTCAGTCCCCAAGCCGACGCTCTATCCATTGAGCCAAACCGGTTTCGGCAATATGAAGGACTTTTGATCTGTGCCGTGCCCTTCTGATAAGCGCATTCGGTCAATTGTCAACCATTAGTGTT